CGTGGGGTGATTCATGCGAGCCTGTTGAAGCACCTGCAGGCAGCAATGTCAGCCGCAGTCCGAACGGACCTATCGCAACAGTTTTCTTCCGGAGGACTGTGTATGAATTAGTGATAATCAAGTGGTGTTGTACGCTGATCTGTAATGCCCAAGTTGTTCGCGAGAAGGACAACCTGTTCGTGCGATCCGGTCCTAAATGCCAAGTTCCCCAAGGCTGAATCCAAGATCCGGTTGCAGCGTGGTATAACTAATGAAGCGCGAAGGCCATTTGAAAGGCACATGCTGGGTGTGTTGAGCTTGGCGGGCTGAACGTCTGCCTCAGGGATGAGCATGGCTGAATTGCAGCTGCAACGCGCCGTGAAACGCACTTCCCTGGCGCGGTGCATTCGGAAAGCAGCTTTTGCGATTCGAGTATCGCACAAGCCCCTAGAATGGTATCGTTATTGGCTCTCAGCTCTCAAAAAGAGCATATGTCGAGAAAGCTGGGCATGTGGAGGAGGCAACGGGGCGGACATTCGGGCGTTGCCCATCTGGCAGTGGCGCTAAGTCACATGCGGCGCTACTGCACTCCAGCTTCCTCTAGTTCGCCCGCTCGGTCGCTGTCAATGTCAACTTTCACATCGTTTCGCCAAGCGTGAGAATTGGTGGCATGAAACTGTTTGATTACCAGTGCCACAATGAATGAGCTCTTGAATTACCAAAGACTACATGGGTCATGCTAAGCTGTCGCCCAGCGTGCTCTCCCTATAGAGTATATGGCTCTTGCTTCCATGAAACCCTTCTCTCATCCCTCATTCTATCGAACCTCACCACGCTCTGTAGCAAAACTTGGGCACCAAGTGCACAGTCCTCTTCCTTGCAGAACTCCCTTGGGTTGTGGCTCACACCTTCTCTGCACGGCACGAAGATCATGCTGGTCGGGCAGCGCTTACTCGCATAGACGCTATCATGCCCAGCACCAGAAGTCATCTCCATAGACTGGTTAGGGCCGAGAATGCTGCGCGCGGATTGGCTGACAGACGTGATGCAGTCTGCGTGGAACTTAGTTGCTGGGCTGTCGAAATCCTCGACTATCTCAACACTGAGTGGAAGACCGCTTGTGCAACCGTGGTTTGAGCCTTCAACATCTTCGCCTGCGGCGATCTTAGGGAAGTCGCGGAGGACTAGCTCCTTCATCTTCGCGACTGTCTCGTCTTTCGGTGCCCTGATGTCGAGGCTGAAAGTTACCTCGCCTGGCACCGTGTTCGTTGAGCCAGGCTTTAGGTTGAGTATACCCGTGGATGCTAGTGCGGCGTTGGCGGTTGCAAGACGATGAGAATGAAGGATCATTTTGCTCGCTGTCAGCAGCGCGTCAGCCCGCGACTTGAGATCGGTAGTTCCGGTATGAGTGTCTCGTCCCTTGACTTTGATCGTCATCCATTTGTAAGCTTGCACCCCAGTGACAACTCCGATCTTCTTGTTTGCCATCTCCAGAAGTGGGCCCTGTTCGATATGAAGTTCGAAGTGCGCCGCCATTGGCATGGCCTCGTAGCTTGCTGGTGTACTCCCCAGGTAGCCAATGCGCTCGAGCTCAGACTTCATGGTTGCAGTTCCAGGATGAACTTCGCGAAGGTTATGCGCCGTTTCAAGAGGAATAGAGCCCGCCCAAACTCCGCTGGAAACCATTGACATAGGGAAGCGCGCACCCTCCTCGTTAGTCCAGTTAACCACGCCGACAGGGTACTCAGTCTCCGTCCAGTTGTCGGCGAGCACTCTGAGCATCTCCACGCCAGCAGTAACACCCAGAATGCCATCATATCGTCCACCAGTAGGCTGCGTATCCAAGTGACTTCCTGCAAATGTAGGTGGTTTGTCGTTCCGTAGTCCCGGTCGCACAGCGAATTGATTTCCCATGGCGTCAACGGTAACCTCACAGCCGAGTGCCTTTGTTGTTTCTGCAAACCAGTCACGTGCAGTCTTGTCTGCATCAGACAGCGACAATCGCTTCATACCCGTCTCCGTTGGCTTTCTACTATCGTCAGCCACATGGACATCCATTACTCGGACCACTTACTCCCCCCATGGCTCGCCTATACCCCATTGGCAAGTGTCGTGGATATCCTTCATTAACCTCTCCTGGTTGACTTTCAGATCTCTCATCGAATCATCATTCATCTCCTTCGTTCTGATCTGCCATTGTGGCGAATTAGAGAAGCATCTGACATGCTTGCATGCTATGCCTGCTCTTGGAGCAGGTACAGCTCTCGGTGCGGGGTAGCGTCTGCTTGCAATGCGGAGTGCAGTCGGGAATCTGTTAGCCAGCAGAGCCATTATATGAGGAAAAGTGAGGAGGGAAAGAGATGAAAGTCATGGCGGCACGGGTCATGGAAGTCGGCATCTCAAAGGATAACATGACATGACAGGCGCCCAGTCGTAAGGAAGGGGCGGGTCGGATGTCCGATAACAGTAGTGCGGGACTATCCCGCTTTCTGATATGCAGGTTATCCGTCGGCTAATGGAAGCATGCGAACACGCGATGATAAGGCGGATGGTATGGACCTTGGTTGATGAATGGCACTTTGTTGCTTTGGCAATTTGTTCCAGAAAATTGCTGAAGTGATGGGGCGAAATGTGTGCGCCCCATGTGCTAATAATGTGTGTATTGGTGTGGGGTATCTATAGTGTAGCTTGTCCTTAACGCCTTTGTATGCTGCTCAAATCAAATTGCCTACGCGAATTTCTGGCTGTGCGACGGATCTTAGACAGCCTTGCCTTTCCCCTTTCCTTCAATCACTGGCTTGACGTCCTCCTCGGAGACCTCGTCCTCTTCCTCGCTATCGCTCATGAACTCATCGTCTTCGTCGTCCCAGCCAAACATGGCCCGTTGTTGCACAGGTTTTGACGAAGAAGCGGTCGGTTGAGCCTCGTCCTCTTCATCCTCTGAGCTGTCTCGTTGTGCCATCAGCATCTTCTCGATAGCCTCTCTCGTCTTGTTCTCTGCTTCCTCTTTGTCCTCAACCCACTTCCCATCAAGACGTGCTGTGCCTCTGCTGTTTTGTAGCTCTTCTTGCTTGCGCTCGGTGCTGGCCACGATGTCCTCCCACTTCTTCCGTCGCTCCTCCTTTTCGCGCTGCTCCATCTCGGGCTTGATCGCGAGGTACTCGGCAAGAACCTTGGCTTCAGTGACTGTGCGCAGGCGTCGCCCGTCAAGATTTCGAGATGATCCATTCACGTCGCCCTGCTTCTTCTTGCGCGAGGACATGCGACCACCCTGGGCGCGCAGGATAGATCCGAAACCACCCTTTCCACCACATAGCGGTACGGTCAGGCGTAGGGATAGAAAAGTGTCTGCAGGCGAGGACAGGAGCGACGACACGGGCGCAGCGTCATGACGTACGGAGCGGCGCGAGTTGGTCGTCAGGATGTAGGGTGAGTTCTGGATCCATGGTGCGCGCTCGTAGAGTGTATCGTAGATGGAGGTAAGAGGCGCATCCTTTTGCGTCGCAAAGGCGATGTTCTGCCCGCGAATGCTGTTGACGATGACAGTGATGGGGGACTGGGTGGCGGCGTCCATGGTTGCGACTCGGTGTTGTGTACGTCGCGCGTGCGTGGTGAATATCGCGATCGCTTGCAAATGCTATTTGGGGGTTTTAACTCCGGTTAGGGTGAGAGTTGCTTGTTGGTGAGTGAGAGTGGTTTGGTGAGGAGGCAGGCGACTGAGTCTTGAAGATTGGGGACCGGGCCTTGGCGGAACCGCAACAGCTGGTCATAGCGCTCGCTTAGACTAGCTTCGCACCCATCACTCGAAATCGCCTGCTCTCTACCAGCGAACTTCTGCCCTTATCGACCTTCAACCACAACTCCTGACATCCCGAGACTTCTCGCAAACCGTGAAGATGCTCATCCCCAAGGCCGACCGCAAGAAGATCCACGAGTTAGTCTACCTCTACAACCAACAATGCCACGGCGCATTCGAGCTCTGAGTTTCGCACGAAATGATACGACTTGATATGGGCTGAGCTACACTTGAATCCCTTCCACACAATTGAACACATTTGCTAACCATTCTTCTCTCCAGGTACCTCTTCAGAGGTTAGTATCCCCGCGCACTCGAGCCATGGCTATGGCACAATTATACATTTTCGCGGCTTTGCTGCATATAAGGATAGGCTGACACACGGTCACCACAGAGGGAGTTCTGGTTGCTAAGAAGGACTTCAACCTTCCCAAGCACGGCGAGATCGACACCAAGAACCTTTACGTCGTCAAGGCTTGTCAGTACCCCCTACTGCACTGCGACATCGTCGGCCCCTAACAGTCAACAGGCCAGTCTTTGACCTCGCGCGGTTACCTCAAGACCCGCTTCTCGTGGCAATGGTACTACTACACCCTCACCCCCGAGGGTCTCGACTACCTCCGTGAATGGCTGCACCTCCCCGCCGAGATCGTTCCCCAGACCCACATCAAGCAGCAGCGCTCTGCTCCTCCCCGGGGTATGCTCGGCGGCGGTGACGACCGTGAGCGCCGTGGTGGCGGCCGTGGTGGACGTGGCGGTGACCGTGGCGGTGACCGTGACGGCTACCGCCGTCGTGACGCTGGTGAGAAGGCTGAGGGTGCTGCCCCTGGCGAGTTCAAGCCCGAGTTCCGTGGTGGCTTCGGCCGGGGACGCGGTGCTGCTCCTGCTTCGTAAGCAGTTGAGGGCTTTCTGGAGTAAGGCTAGATACGGTTTCATCTTCATGTCGGGCTTTACTGCATTACAAAATGGGTTCGGATACGGCGAAATGACCGGATGATACTACGAATGGATCGCTTGTCTAAGTTGCGATGATGCAGTCTTGGACGACCATGTCCTCAATGATACCCCATAACCTTCAGTGAACTATTCTGTTTGACTATCTCCTTGTGTATGTGATGGCATGACTATGTCAGCTGCACATCGTCGATGCTATACTAGAAAGCCATTACATATCGTATTATGCTTGTACTCCTTCATTATGTCGTTTGACGGAGGAATAGCCATCTCAATGTCCGCCCTTTCCAGTCTTCATCAACCCATCACCGCTCTGCATCCAATTAACACAAGTTTGCCCGATCGGCTGCCCACCTGATTCCTTCTCCACCAATACCCTCAAAAACTCGAGTCTCTCCTCTACACTCGCCTGGCCATCCTCGCGTCCCTCTTGCTTCAGCAGGGCCCTCCCCAGCACAGCGATATTCCTCGTACTAGGAATCCTCAGATGCTCCTTCTCAACCACAAACCCCGTTTCCTCTGTTAGATGGCACACCCAACTACACAGACTAGCATACGCAGAGGGTTGCTTGGGCTTCTTCGAATCCGCCGTCATGGGATCAGGCATAACGTGTTTTGCATGCGCCGGCGCGCGAAATCTCGTTCCGCCAAAGTCATGTGAACAACATGGTATGGCGATGAAAGGAGATGAATTGAGGTACGCCAGCAACGGTGTCCATGGGGTGAGTTCGTCGGCGTGGTTGCTGATGATGAAGGTACCGGGTGGGAAGACGCCGTTGTGATGGGGTGTTGAGGGGGTATCTGTGTCTGAGGGAGGTGGTTGGAGGATCTCAGGTACGAGGAGCATCTCTTGTAATTTCTCGGTGTGGTGTTGTGGAAAGGCTTCCCATGTTTTTCTCCTTCGGGCGTCGAAACCCCAGCCATGCCAGCCTTCGGCGTTGAGGATGTGGACGAGTAGCCCGTTTCCGCAGCCAATGTCTACGAAGCCTGGGAAGCTGGCTTGTGCTACTGTGGTCTTTTGCTTTGCTGCATCTTCCTTCTCTTCCAAGTCGTTGACATGCTTGACCGCGTCGTTCATGGGGCCGTACATCTCCGTCCATAGTTCCATGAGGAAGGCAGCAATACCCAAGTCTTCGAAAACATGTTTCTCGGCAGGCGTCTGCTCCACCCATCCTTCGATCAGATCTTTTGCATACTTGCCCTTCAAGAATGCATACGTGTCCTGGAACCTCTTTTGACTGATGACTTGATCGTGATGAACGCGCTTCTTGTACCCAGCTTGCCGACCGCGCGAGTGTTTGTGTATGACTTCCAGAAGCTTGAGACCAGTGCGGGAGAGGCGGTTATCGAGAGGTTGGCTAGGGAAGAGGGAGTAATGAATAGACAGGTGCCCGGGTGCGGAGACCAGAGATGTATGAGATGATTTAGAGGTGGATGGAAAGTATGTATATAGCATGGCCAACGAGCGGACTTTGGGGTGATAGTAGGGAATGGCTTCTGGCGTTGCAGCATGAGGTATGTATACAACCATATACCGCTCTGCTTTAACAGTCTCCTTTTTCTCATCTGCACTCGTGATAGTGACATCCTCGTGCGATACAAACAGATGACAAGTCTGCATCAGCGAGTCATCCAACTTCGGATTCCGAGGTATGAGTTTCCGCACAACCGTGTACTCTAGCTCGTACCCTTCTATACCTCCATCGATCAGTTGCGGTCGGCATTCTGGTCGTAGATGCTTGACAATACTCGCCAGTTCCTCTGAGGTACTGGCCTTGGGGTTGTATGTTGCGTCTGTGAAACTTTGGTAGGAAAGCTCTGCGCGCGCAAGATGGGTTGAGGTTCGATTGGGGTTCTCGAGCAGGTCGCGACTGGTTTCGAGAAAGTACTCAGGCGCAAGATTTGCCGGCGCAGATTGCATTATGGTCCATATCTCGGGTGGGAGGCCGGTGGAAACCTTGGGTGCACTGGACATGTCGTAGGGTGAGAACTTGTCGCCTGCATATTCTTGGTTTTCGGGCTTCGGTAATGATTCTGCTTTTCTCACTTCTGCGTGATCTGTGTTCTTCTCGCTATCTCGTGGCGTTCTGTTTTCGCGATTCTCGTGTTGCTCATCGTGTGCCATCTTGTCCGTGAACTATCTCTTGATCTTGAATGACTCGTCCACAATGATAAATTTCAATCCCCGCCTAATTCAAACGATCATCAGATTGCTGCGGTCCCAGCGATAGTCAGGAGCATCCGCCATCGGCGATAAGCTGCTTCTTCGATAGAAATAGTTGTCTTGGATTCTCAAGTCGCACGGTGGTGATGATGGTGTTGGTGGTAAAGTGCAAGCGAGCAAATCGAGGTTTAGTTGGTCCACCATGACCCTTCAGTAAATCCAGCAAACATCCCTAGGATCAACAAAAAATACAGTACCACATGCGCTCTGCATCATTTTGCGGTAAGATTCTTGATCGTGATGCGTACATTTCGTAATATCTAGAGCATCAGGTCCGGTGCGCAAATCCGGGGGACTTCTCCTGATCACAATAGACGCATCTGAAGAGAACGACGTTTACGCGCAGCTCCATACCAGAAATCTATACTCTAGCTGTACTCTGTCGCTAGTCTATATCCCATAGATCTAACATGTCTTCAATCCCCCCAAATAACGCCCTCACTATGCATTTCATCCCCCTCTGACCAAATCTACCGCCCATAATAATGCGCCATCTCCAGCCCCGCCCTCTTAAACCCGCACTTAACATAGAATCCCTCATTCGCCTCTGAGCAATCCAGAATGGTCTTGTAGCAGCCCACCTTCTCCGCGACAAAGTCCAGCGCCTGGATGATCCTCAGACCCAGCTTCTTTCCCTGCTGGTCCTTGGCCACAGCAATATCCTCAATGTGTCCTACGAGGCCGAGCTGGTGGATGAATTTGCGTTCGACGATGAGGGCGCCGGTGCCGACGATGGCGTTGGACGAGTCGGTGATGCAGAGGAGGAAGTATTCGTCGTTGCGGGCGGACATCCAGTCGTAGCGTTTGTTCCATTGCTGTGGGAAGGTTGATGTGTTAGCGGTGCGCTCGTGCTACGTGTGTTTGCTTCAGAGTGGGTGTGGCAGAGCTATGTCTTGCTTGTTGTAGGGGGTTGGGAGAGGTTTCGTACCTCTTCCGTTATGTCTCCCACTGTGGTGAGCACCCTAAGTACATCTAGGAAGCCATTGTGGTAGTCTTTCCTCTCGAGCGGTCGGCAGCTGTAGCCTTCTGGGAGTGCCTTGAGGACTTCGGGCGAGATGAGCTCGGAGCTGAAGAGTGGGCCTTCGGTCGTTGACATCGTGTGTATGGATTGTTTCGAGCGAGTGAGATATAGGTACAGGTGGCTAATTGAGTTGTGACAAGGTTTGCGACGCAATCGACCAGTCTTTCTACAGCTGGTGCCAACGCGCGGGACTGGGGGTCGCGGGGGTATTTGGTATCTTATCGATAAGCAGGCGGTGAGAAGAAGGTCGCGGCTCTCAAGACAACCGATAGCGTGATGTGAGCTTGATAGCGATACTTGAGACGTTGAATATACGGAAATAGTGCAGCGGTTTGATTTTCGAGATATCTAGGTATTCAGCAAGGTGGCTACACGATTCGTTGCGATAGCTGGGCAATGTGCCAAGCATCCAGGAACCAGATCTATATTTGGAACATTCAGGGAAGTCTCGTCATGATCTTCAGGAGCTTCCTCGTGTCGGCTCGTCACGATCGTATTGCGACACCAAAGCATTGACAGAGTCCAGTCACAAATTAAAGATATATTTAATTGCAATATAGAGAATTGAGTACCCACACTCGTCCGCCTGTTACTATCTTTATCGCGAGAACTTGACCTGCCTGACTGCTCTTAGCACGTCCTCCGGCTTCAGATCTCCATCTTTAAGGTCGAGCCCCACAATCTTCGCCAGCGCCTCTGTGAGCTCCATGTTCTGTCGCTGCAGCAACATGGCCCTCTCCTGCATCCGTGCCATCTTGCTGATCGAACTCTCTTCTTCGGCAACCTCGTCATGGCCACTGTCAATCGCGACTGAATCTGACAGAGGTTCTGGTGTGTGAGCTGGCGTCGGCAACGCTCCAACAACTGGCTCGGGATGCTGCTCTTTCTGTTCGTACGTCGGCAATGGCTTGCGCTTGATGCGCTGCAAGTCTCGCAGCTTCCGAGCTCTCGTCTGATCTTCTCGATTTGACCGTGCGGGCGATACCGCTAGTGGGTGGTCATCAGCAGGCACCAGCTTTGGTGACTTGGGTAGCCTCTTCGGGCTCCGCGGCGACACAGGAGCTGGTTCGGAGAACGAACGACGCCCATGGCTGGCCATTATACGCTCCACTTTCGGGCTGGCGAGGGGATTCAGCATCTCCTCGTCGAATGTGATGGCGATGTGTCGGGAGCGTCGTTGTTTTGGAGGTTGAGATGTGGGAACAGCAACCAGCTGAGTGTTGCGAGGGCTTTCGGTCGGTATGACGATCCTAAGATGTCGCGCGCCTCCAGACGTGGTCATCTCGCGGGCGCACGTCGGAATAGGCGCCTGTCTGCGTGTTCGCTGAGGAGAGCCTTCCACTGATCCAACGCGAGCAGCCAGAGTCTTGCGCTGTTTGACTTTGAACAGCTTCATTTGCTTGCGCGGTTGTGCTGTAGACTGAGGGTCTGTAGATGGTCCAGTATGTTTCAAGTAGTAGCTGAGATCATTCAGACCAAGATCAGCACTCGCTGTCAGTGCATCGTGGCTGAGAATTGGTGGCGCCAATCGTCCTACCTGCGAGGAACCTACGCGGCCAGCCTGTCCTACGTCAAGGCGTTTTGAGATTCGCTTCTTCCGAACGTGGAGATCGCCCTCCAGTTGCTTGTCGTCGTCATACAACGATTGTTGCTCCTCATCTACGAAGATAAACTCGTCATGCGTGGAGACGGCAGGCTCGATCTGGGTTGGGAAGCTTGGGTTCGTGAGCCGCTTTGGACTTCGATCCGGTACTGCTGGTGGCGGCTCATGCAGATCTGGTTCACCAATGGCATAGATATCGATAGGCTCTCTGGTCGACTTCGGAAGAGTAGGCTCAGGTGAAACTGGGAGGGGAACATCTCGTGGGTCTGGTGAGTAGGCGTGACAAATCGCCTTCGATACAGATACTGGACCGCCCGTCTGGCTATCGAAGTATCTCTGGATCACCCCAAAAGTACCCATTTCGCCAACTTGCTCGGTTTCGATTTCAGGTAGCAGCTCGCTCATGGTATCATAGCTAGCCTTGCGTCGGTGCTTGGCTACCAGTGGCTCCAGTGGCGCATGTCGTGCGGCATTCGTTAGATTCGGCATCGTTACTTTGAATGGCGTCTGGCGGCGCTGGCGCTTTTTATCTTGTGGGCGACTGATTGGGATGCTTGCGTTTCCAATACTGGCATTGCGGCCTACACGCTCGGAAGACAAAGCGGAGCAAGGCTCATAAGTAAGCACTCTGGCCAAAGGAACGGAAGACGAGCGTCGATTTGGCCTGGCTGACGGTTGATAGACCTCAAGTGACGACGGCGACGATATTTCCTTGGAGTCAAGCTCGATTGCCTCCCGAGACTCAATCGTGGTGGACCTTCCAGTAGTATGTGACGCTGTTGACGAGCTACAAGCACGTGGACTTGCAGCGATACGATTGTTGCTGGGTGAACGGAACCCTTGAGACGTTCTGGGACGCGAGTAGTTCTCTTTGAAACTTCTGGAAGGTTGGTACACGTCGAGTGGCTTTGAAGACCGCATTTCGAAATGTCGTGGGGTATGGTTGAGGAAAGAGCCTTTGCGTCTTCGTTGGCACCCAGACTCGTCTATAAAGTGCACCGGTGATGACAAGCCATAGCCAGTCGGTGGAGTCCCTGCAGTGGTCGGCGGGGTGTTTTCGTCCTGCGTCGAGGCCGTTGAATTGCGCTTGAGCGACTCGGACGACACGCTTGTGTTCATCTTACACGTCTCTCCCAACGCCCCAGTATATTCAAGAACACTCCATCTGGTATTCCCGAACATTGGAAACGAGTTCAAGAGATTTTCTGTCGAAGACGACATCATGACTGCAATCTGGCTGCTAGGTACCCTTAAAGCCGACTTGGGAACCACAGTCCTCATTCAAACCCGATGCCTAAACGTGAGCTGTAAGTACTGCTTAGCAGGGAAAGCTGGCTCAGATTGTGGTACAGCCAGGAGATGGGTAACTCAGCAGACGCAGTAGTGTTGTATCTCACGAAGACCGCTGCTTGTTGGCTGTAACCCAAAGCAGGGGTAGGTGGAGGGTTGGCTTCGGTGATTGGCAGAGGCGACGTGGAATTGGCCTTAGTGTCTAGGAAGTATGGCGACCGGCAGCTTTCTTCGCGCCTAAGCTTGCTGCAGATAAGACAGTTTCTCAAATTCGACAGGAGGAAAGTGATGTGGTGTAATCAGGGGCGGATCTGAGTGTAGGGATCACTTCTCGAGCTCGTGATGCCGTGAGGTGAGCAACGTGACACTACAGCGTATTGACAGCGAAGCCGGTAGCCGACAATGAGGTCGCATAGATCGGGAGATGTCTTTGCCCTGGCAAGGTCAAGATGATAGGAGTAGCATTTGAAAGTAGTGGAATCTCCGCGACGCAAAGGATGTTTGCAACCGAGGAGCACAAACTTTAATTGTTTGCCCACAAAACATTTCAGAAATCGCCGCGGAACTCAAGCTGCAAGCCAGCCACGATCTGAAGAATGTGTCGCTCGCCGATGACGATAACTGGGCGCATCGCTCTGTAGTACGAGTGCACGATGGTGATTGGTGGCGATGTAGTACAGGTAGAGATTGAGGGCAGTGCGGCTTGCTTGATCCGGCGACGAGGGGAGCGCCTTGCTGATATCGCGCTTTGATGCATTGAGGCATATGCCGATGCAGAATGATCCGCGACAAGGGACTGTCGATTTTTGCTTGAATGATGTGGAGTGCAGAATCCAATAATTGAGAATGGGCGGTGTGCGTCACGGTGGTACATGAACGCCTGACTAGCCAGAGGAAGTCGTGGCCCTCACGCACTTGCGATGCTGCGACCACGCATAGTCGTGATCAATGCACTGCGCTCAGATGTCTAGAAGACGCCGAACTGCA